AATGTATATCATGTATACAAAGCACGAACCAAAATTATTCCACACCTCCAGGAAAATAAGTACCTTCCATGGACCCAAAGCTTTCCAAGCAGAAGTTGATTATCTAATAGAAAACCAGGACCCTATACAAGAAAAAGAAAGAAAAAGCTTCACCTTACTAACAGCAGCTCAAAAAGACTTTTAGTCTGTAGAGCACCTGAGCCATTGGGTGGGAAAAGCTGTGACAGATCAGGCAGAATCGTAGGAACTATTCCTGCAGCAAGGTGAAATCTGAAATATCTTAAATTCCACGTGGCCAACAGCCACCATCCTCATCTTCCCCCACCCCAACTAATATTGGTGTTTTGTAACAGCCTAACTGTGTGTTCTGCTCAGCTGTTAACAATAGCTTTGTAAGCAAGTGTTGCAAGCCCTTATGGCTTTTTGATATGCCTATGGAGCTGCTTTTCTTTCCATTTCCCCTGCTGTGTGCCAGGTTCCAGAAACACTTCCAAGCAGCAGATTCAGAAATAGAAAGAGTTCAAGGCCAGGTTTCACACCTGCAACCTTGCAGCTCCGGGTCGCTCCAGCCCTGAAGACCAGTCTCCCTATTATAAATCCAAGGCTTCCTCTAACATCCAGGTTTTATGTTTGGTAATTCCAAATTAAGTTTATGGTTTTTTACTTAGTTGTTAAGGGGCAGGAAGGGATGGGAGCAGGAGGGAGAGAGAATACTGCAGGCAAGCTATATAACCATTACATGGATCGCATCTGACTTTGATGAAGTAATTTAATTGAATGCCACAGTAGTTCATCCAAATTAATTCATCACTCAATTTAAGGACACTGTTTCACTCCAATTCCCAGGGAAAAAAAAAAAAATCAAAAAGAGCTACTCCTATTCAATATTAACACCATTCATACTTTGGCTTCCCTAAATACTTCGGAGGGTAATACAAGTTTGCACAAAGTTTTAAAGGGTTAAATGTGCAGTTCCAATTTTTATTTCTATTGGAATTCTACACAAGAATCTGCTTTCTAAAGCACTATAATTATAATATTTAGTTTATAGCAGCAGCAGAAAGCTATCACAAACACCCCATATGCCTCCTGGGAAGCCCCCCCAATATGATACTTGTGTGCTATGGCCACGTATGTGCCCATGAGAAATTTTGACACCCAGAGTGGATTCAAACAGAATAAGTGCAATGGATAAAGAAGCATATTTTGGTTTGTTCAGAAAACAAAGTTGCTGTGTAGCTGGACAAACTGCCACGCAAGACCCATTTCTTGACTCCGGGTGTGATTTATGCAATTTATGCTGACTCTCTGTTCATCTTGTGTTATACTGCCCACCTTACACAGGACTTTTCTTGCCATGTTGCCCCAGTAGCCCTGAAAAATAGTTTAGTAATCTCTAAATCTCTGGTGTGAAAGAAAATTAAACAAAAGAAACCAACAATTTTTGTTTTGCTACAAGATGAGAAAAGTACATAAAAACTAAAACAAAGTTGGGAGGGAAGAAACCTGTAACTCTGCCTTGCCCTCTAGAAGCAATACAAGCAGAGCTCTCTTCTGATATATATTGACTGTCAAAATGGAAAATAAAGACCCAACAACATTTTTAGAAGAACAGGATAAAGCTAAGTCTTTCTCTCTCTGCATAGAGAGACAGAGAGAGAATGCAAAGTCATTTGTACGTAGCCAAGAGTGTAAGCCACAGGAGTTTCTGCATTGCTACTTAATTCATTCAGATAGTAGATGGGAGAAAAAAAAAAATAAAGGAAAAAGAAAAAAGAAGAAATGAAGAAAAAAGCTATTTCCAGAAAAGGGGAAAAAAAAAAATAAACCCCACCAAATCCAATGTCTTCATTTTAGAAGGCAAGAAAACTCTGGAAACGATCCTAATGTAAATCTCAGACAAATCTGCGTTTTGCTGAAACAAGAACTTCGGGTTTAGGCCACGTATGAAAGTAGCTCCCAGTTCCCCAATTAAGTCTAGTTCTGCTCGAGACACTGAGGTGTCGAAAAACTTCAGAGTGAGAATTTAGTAACTAGCTTACCACAGAGGAAAAGAAGTTGAAAGCAAACCAGACAGGATCATCTCTGAGTGAAGTTTGTCTTTCAGAAAATGAAGATCCTTACGGTAGTAAATAGAATACTGGAATTGTTTGCAAATAGGTTTAATCATCTAATTGCCAAGTACGAGGAAAATCTATGTGCTACCAGACCTCAGTGCAGCTAATTACTAGAAGGCAAAATAAAGATTTTTATCAGACTTTGTGTGTGTTCTTCAGCAATTACATCTATCAATATTTATGTCACTCACAGGCCTCGCTGGGTGGTTGCTGCATATATTTTGTGTGCAGTCAAGAAGCTTCCCGACTGCAAACGTGCTTTTTAAAAAGAAAAGCTGGCTGGAACCCTGCATTTCCAATTCAAGCAGTGGATTCCGAAGCCTGTTAACTCCCTGGAGCAGCTGATAGTTAAAGACTTGTTTCCGCTTTTCTAACAATTTCCTGGTTTGCATAACAATCCTAAAAGAAACACGCTCAAGAAGTTTTCCAGCACAGAGAGATTTTTGTCTCCAACATACTTCTAGTTTCAAGGCACAGAAAATATTTATATATAATTACAATAACTTCAGAGAGATATTTGTCTACAAATACATTGACACATAAATATGTATCAGCTACTTGGTTTAAAACAAGATTATGATAATTTTGCCATATCCAGGAAATACAAAACACTGGCTTATGCCTGGTGCTTAACTCATGCCATTGTGAATAAAGAGGGGGGAGGGAAGGGGTTTAATGTTTAATTTCCTGTTAAAAACACACACAGGATAAAATCTTCCAAAGAGCAGTTATAAAACATGCATTTGTTAGCCAAGAAACTAGGTAAATATGGAACCAAGCCCAGGCTCAATTTTATTCCTTCCCCCCCCCCTCCTCCTGCTCCAAAGAACAAAGTAACTGAAGGCTACGGCGCGTATTTGGAGCTGCTGAGCTCTACTCAGTGACCAGATAATTAATCATTCTGCCTGATTTATGCACCCTCTATCCATTGGGGCAGTTCTTTGGATAAGGCAATGACGCAGTGGGGCTCAAGTTGCTGTATTGCTGTGTGTACAATACTCCACACGTGCCAACCAACCATTGCATCAACTGCTCATTACCCTCCTGACACAACTATCCAGCTAAACACAAATAAAATAAGCATTAGCATGTAGTTGGGACCTACCAACAGATTGAGAACATCACTACCTTCAGAGGCTGCTGGAGACACCACGGAGAATTTTTTTTTTTTTTGAGAAGCCACAAGGTGAAATATTATTTTCAGATCCCACTGAAACTCAGTGCCATCCAACCTGGAGCTGGGACTTCCTTCACTGTGATTCAGCCTTCATCAAAGTTCTACCACGCGTAATGATGTATTAGGTTATTCTTCAATTTGCCACACTAGAACTCCCAGACAAGTAGCAAATTTCTGTATGATATATAACAATTTCAGCCTTTAACAAGCCCAGTTCTTCTCTTTGTTGAGGTGCCAGAATTAGACAAAAATATGGACTGTATTTAGGGGAAACTGAACATTTGTAACTGTTTACAACAATAACGCTGTATTTTTGGGTCTTACAGTAAAAACAAGCCATCAAATGCTTTCTGTCTACTGCGTTAGGGTCACAGTCAGGTCCTCATTGCACACCTTGCAGCATGGAATTGGAGAAGATGTGGTACTTCTTGTGACCTGCTGGGATTCCCATTCAAAATTAGATGCAAACAACTCCGTGAGTAGCTTCAATTTTATTTTGTTTTGTTTTTCAAATGAGGATAAATTTATCAAGAGCTCAAGAGCCTTCTTAGCTTTTGGTAGCACATTATTCAAATTAACACTGCTTAAGCTTTTTAAGCAGATGCACCTCAAACACCTTCTAGTCCAGGCATTTAGTTCCATATTTGATGCAAGAAAAGAAAGGCACAGAGATTACAGATCTCTGGTGAATTAAACCGGATGGCAGGGATGCTGAATTTCTTGCAGACTCTTTGCAAAGCTGGCTTTGAGACAATAAACAGCCCTGGGTTTATTTCTAAAGCCTGCACTTAACAGCCATCGTAGGCATTTGTGGTTTTTCCTTAAGAAATCAACCACTGTTGACCACTGATTTAATGACAGTTCATCAGTGGATCTCCTACTACTGCAGGAGCTCAAAATCCTGTTTGTTTTCACTTGCTGATAACTGGACTTTGTGCCCTGGCTCCATGATTCTTCATGTGAAACGACGACTGACTAACAGCGTTGGGAGGGAGAAAGGGAACAGGGTGGAGAGACTCTGTAACACAAAGATGAGCCCTGACTTGCCCTCACAGTACTGTACGTACCCCCAAGCAATGAAATTTCAGGGAAATTATTATGTTTCTGGCCAACAGTCAGAATATATAAAACGTTATACACCCTTTGCCTCACTGTATGTTGCTACTGCAGATTCCATGCAAAAGCAAGATTAATTTCTCTCTTTGCTTCTCAAGAGTAAGGCAAGTTTACAAGTATTACTGCTAGTTACATCAAGGTATTAAAGATTCAAGTGAAGTACTAGTATTCTCAAGTGCAGTGGTGACCTGAGCCTTTAATCCAGATGAATTTAACTGTAGCGTGCGTTATCTCTTCTCGTAAAAGATTTGCTTTAATTTTCCTTCTCTCTCCATTTATCTTATGGCTGTGTCATCTTCAGTAGAGGTCAAAGAGACTTCCCCAAAGACACAGGAGCTGCTTCTTTTTTAGAGGGGGAAAAGCATATTTAAGACAGTTTGTCCTACTTTTAAACATGTCAGAGGACAGTATTCCCTATACTCTTTTTTCTCTGTACTCTCCTTGCTTCTTTATGTGTCCCAAAGCAATTAAACAAGCATGCACGTGTGTGCACACATGTATACAAATGAAACATGACATGAAAACACCTACTGAAGATAGGATATACAGCCCATCTGCTGCAAAGACTGAAATTCTTACTAACATCTTACCATCATCCAGCTCAAGACAGAAATTGTACACAGCCAGAGGCCTCTTAACACGTTGTCCTTGTCTTCTTGATTGCCTTGGTGGGGCATTTGGAGGAAACACTGACACAGAGATTGGCTCAGGGAAAGTGGCATCAGGCAGGCTTTTGAAAATCTGCAATCAAGAACACAAAGGGTGTTAATTATTTATCTATCACGAAGAGCAACCTGTGTAATGCAACTGTAAACCATTATCAAACAACATTTGTTTTGGATTTCATTCAAAGCGGGCAGGAGCCAAAAATCCATTCCTTCAAGTTTGGGAGTATGCCGTGGGCCTTTAATGAGTGCTTTTAAAATAAATAAATATAATAGGAAAATAAGCAAGAGCACTATCTGCACATTAACCAAGCTGCAAATCAGTTAATCCAAAGACAAAGTACTCTCAGCCCCACTTGCCTGCTGGGATGAAGGGGAAGGGAAAGAAGGGTGACACGAACTTTGTGAACAACTAACCAAAAAGCTTTATAGCTTTAGCTAGGTTCTAGAATTTTGCCAGAATACCCATTTTCATTTTCAAAACTTGTGATATCATTATAATATCATCTACTTTAATGAGGAAAAAAAAGTACTCTTAGAGAGAGCAAGGGGCAAACTTTGAGGGGAGGAGTTTTTAGTGAGAGAGAACTCAGTAACACACCAAGTGAGAATTTCTTCATTTAACTACTGGCTGTTGAGTCACATTTATATTAAAAGATGATATTCACAAAGACGCGTATAAAAAGGATTCCCTTTCTTGTCATCATTTTTATCTTTTGAGTCATGACCATTACCCTATCAACACACCATATAAAAATACCATGGCATTTCTTTCCAAATTAACCAGCAATGCAGATTTGCTCAACCCGACAGCATTTCTACTTTAACTGGCACATACAGGGTACAGTCTAATGATGCTGATTTACTTCTAGAAAATTATCAGTATGCTGATGTAGGATTTAACAGCAGCCTTTTACAAGTGATCACAGCAGATTCACATGAACAAATTAGCTTAATGTATATATTTCATCAAAGACAAACCAGCAGCAAGATGTAAGGAAACAGTATATGGTGTGTTCTTTTACCCTGCAACTTGACATTGCCACCTATCTGTACAGGACATATTAAAACGTTGAGAATTGTAATGAATCTTTGAAGGAGAAGCTTTTCATAAAGTAAAAACTCATGCAGAAGGTATAAAGAGACACCACAGGTAACATGTTTTCGGATTACTACAACACATATCAGGGGCAGCACGAAGCTAAAAGCCAGCCAGGCTACTCTACAGGTGAGAAAAAGACACAAAGATCCTCAAAATATAGAGTTAAAACATAAAAAAATCTACATGCTATGATATCCTGGCTCGTTAACCCTGATTATTAACACTTGTAGGAATAAAATGGCCCAAGAACCCATGCCTACACTGGCTTATAGCTGCTTAATCATCACTCTCGTAGTGGCAGGTAGAAGACTCTGCTAGTACAAAATAATCAGAAACACCATTTTCTATGAAAACTGTCCAAGAATGATCATATTGCCGAAACTGGGCAGCGGTGGATTGGAAGCCTATCACAGAATCTTAGTGGTTGGAAGGGACCTCTGAGATCATCGAGTCCAACCACATTAAAAAAAAAAACAAACCCAAAAAAAACCCCCACACAACAAACCTAAAAACACCACCCACCAACTAAACCCCACACACAACACCCCACCACAAACCAACAATCTCAGGCACCAGAGCATGCCCTGAAGTGCCACCTCTACACATCTCTGAAATCCTTCCAGGGATGGTGACTCCACCACCTCCCTGGGCAGGCCCTTCCAGTGCCTGACCACCCTCTCAGGAAAGCCATTCTTCCCAAGATCTCATCTAACCCTCCCCTGCCCCAACTTCAGACCATTTCCTCTGCTCCTCTCATTATTCCCTTGGGAGAAGAGGCCAACCCCCACCTCTCTACACCCTCCTGTCAGGGAGCTGGAGAGGGCAAGGAGGTCTCCCCTCAGCCTCCTCTTCTCCAAACTCAACATGATGCCCAGTTCCCTCAGCCTCTCCTCATAGGACTTGTTCTCCAGACCCCTCCCCAGCTTGGTGGCTCTCCTCTGGACACACTCCAGCACCTCAATGTCCTTCTTGTGGTGAGGGGCCCAGAACTGAACCCAGCCCTCGAGGGGAGGCCTCACCAGTGCCCAGTCCAGAGGCACCATCGCTGCCCTGCTCCTGCTGGCCACGCTGCTCCTGACACAGGCCAGGTATGGGGTGCAAAGGAAAGCTCCACTGAAAAATATTACCTTCCTTCCCAATAAGTGAATATTTGTCGCTGGGGGGGGGGATAAAATGATGTCATTTGAACTCTCCCACACCAGTGTTAAGAAAAGTGGCTCCCCGTTGCTGGGGGCGGGGGGGAGGATAAAATGATGTCATTTGAACTTTCCCACACCAGTGTTAAGAAAAGTGGCTCCCGCTCATTCGCACGTTTACGGACGAGGGATGGAGAGAGTCATAATAGTGCACTGAAAACAAAATGTTTATAAAGCAGAAGGAAAGTGTCCAACCTGGTCCTCCCCAGGACAGACACGGCAGCCCTCTCAGAGGGTGAGGAAGCTCCAGTTGTGCTCAGAGCATTGAAGCCAGTCCTTAAAACACGATGCAATATATTACAATGCAATCTAAGGTGCACCTTCGGTGGCACGTGGGGAACGGTACCACACTGCCCCCTTCCGTGGAAACACCAGGGGAGATGGAGCAGGTTTAGGGATAAATATTTGCTTCTGAAAAATTCCAAAGTACCAAAACTTTAAATGCCATCTTTTCCAGGGACTAAGCGTTGCAGTTGGGCTCGCTGGTAAATAACTCTCTGCCAAGAGGTTTCAAGCGTGTTGTTTACTGTGTCACACTCCGCAGCTGTGTTTATTTGTACAGCCTTATCCACACAGCTCCGCTGAAATTAATGATGGTGAGAAGAACAAGCATTCCCCAGGAGTGCTTTGCAAGAGATGAGCTTTCTTGGATGCATTCAGGTGACTTGCACAGGTAGCAGGAAAATTCTTGAGCGCTTTTTTCCTTGTCTCTCACAAATATTTCAATGTACTCTTCTAAAACTACTGGCACAAGAAACTGAGTCACAAAAGCAAAATGCCATCAAGAAGACCATGAAGGTGATCCTTGCTCAATGATACTCAGCCCCAGCCAGGAGCAGGACAACGAATTGGAGCCAGGTATGAAACCAAGTAGATTTCTTTTTTTTTCTTTTGGGGGCTGACCTGCTGGAGAGCAGCTCTGAGGAGAAAGACCAGGGAGTCCTGGTGGACAAGAGAATGACCATGAGCCAACAACGTGCCCTTCTGGCCAAGAAGGCCAATGGCATCCTGGGGGGCATCAGGAAGAGTGGGACCCCCAGGTCGAGAGAGGTCATCCTGCCCCTCTGCTCTGGGGAGGCCCCATCTGGAGCACTGGGACCAGTTCTGGGCTCCCCAGTTCCAAAAGGACAGGGAACTGCTGGAGGGGGGACAGCAGAGGCTACAAAGATGATGAGGGGCTTGGAGCATCTCCCTTATGAGGAGAGGCTGAGGGACTTGGGGCTTTTGAGTCTGGAGAAGAGAAGGCTGAGGGGGGATCGGATCCATGCTTATAAATACTTAAAGGGAGGGGGTCAAGAGGATGGGGCCAGTCCTTTTTCAGTGGTGCCCAGGGACAGGAGAAGAGGAAATGGGCCAAATCTTGAATATAAGCTGTTCCACCTAAACATGAGGAGGAACTTCTTTCCTGTGAGGGTGGCAGAGCCCTGGCAGAGGCTGCCCAGGGAGGGGGTGGAGTCTCCTTCTCTGGAGACATTCCAAACACACCTGGACACGTTCCTGTGGGACCTGCTCTGGGTGGCCCTGCTTTGGCAGGGGGTTGGACTAGATGATCTCCAGAGGTCCCTTCCTACCCCATGTGATTCTGTGATTCTAATTGCAAGTATGTATGTGATGGGGAAAAAAAAAAAAGTTTGGTGGGTTGTTCTGTTTTAGGGAGGAAAAACCCCAAGAGAATAAACAGGAGAAAGGAGTGAAGCCCCACTTCAGCATCCATCTCCACAGAGAAGAAAGGGATTCCTGATAGAAGTATTTAGACACGAACTAGAGAATGCAACCCCCTGACCATCTGCAGAGCAAATTTACCCATGCAGAGCAAACTGAGACACTCATATTGGGCAACAAAATCACCAAGTGTCACGAGTTGCCCTGCAGGATGCTGAGCCACACAAAACCAAACAAAAAAAAACATTACTAAAAAGATCATTAGGGTTTCTTTAATATATAAATGAAGCAGGAAACATCCTGTCCTCACGCGTTCCACAAAGAAGTATATTTGGGGTCATTTTTGCTCTTTGAAGCAGATCATATTTGTGTTCATCCCTACTTTGGTATTTTCTTTTTGTCTTTTCAGTAGGAAAATAAAATCCAGTACAGCCCACCCATAACTAGACCTTTTTTTTACTCTTTCTCTCGCTGACCAAAGCTTTAGCTCGTACCACAGTTTTGCAAAGGAGAGCATCTGAAAAGCAAGCAGAAGGTTGACCCTGCTCTAAGAAGCACGTCTACAGCACTCTGCTTCTATTTCTTGCTTTATTTTCACTTAAATAGACAAGTGCTTTTCATCATGCCTTGGTGCAGCAGACAAATACCTACTAACAAAGCCCTGCAACACCTGGAGGGATGGAGGCGTGCGGTTGTGGGGACAGAAGTTTTTTAGGTTTGATTTTATTCAAATTTGCTCCTAGCCTTATTAATTATTTAAATGGCACTGAAGTATAAATGCTCCACAGCCCATAAAAGATGCCTGCTGTGAGTGAAGCACACTGCATACACACAGAAGATGGAATTCCAAAGGTCATATACACTCAACGTCCTACGTGAGCATCGGAAACGGCACGGAGGTTCCTGTGGTTTGACCAACTGTACAACAGGGTAGGACCACACCTGAGCAAGGTTCAGAGTATCTTCTTGCCCTGCAAGCTGTTCTATCAGATGGACGGCGAGGCAATCACACCTATCCCATCGGATGGAAACCCTCCCAGGGGAGAACAGGATTGGAACATGCTATTTAATGGAAGATTTCTTTGCTACTCTGAAGAAAAAAAACAAAAAGCTTCC